CACGGTAAATTTACTGCATTTAGCAGACGTGCTACAGCGTTAGCTCGCCTGCTGCTTTTCAGTAACCATCTTTACTATCTGTGAGTCACCGGAGGCTCAGCAATGTCAGCACAGCTACATGTATTGGATTATAATGAGACTGCGTCACACTTTATAACAGACCGCAGTAAGTAACTTTACTGTAACTAACTAGTGATAGTGGATGGCCCTACCTCTGTGTTGTTGTGACCGTTTTGTTGCAGTGTTTTATGTGAGTCACGTTAGTTAGATCGACTGAGAGGTGGAGAAGCTGTGTATCTCAGTATTTGTCACGGCTGTCGCTGTCGTCTCTGTATTTCCACATTCTGTCTCACTTATACCAAGTAGGCTGTGTGACCTTGTGGTGAAGAGAGGTCTACCTGTGGAATGAAGACCCGCCTATTTCCTGGTTTCTGTGGAGCTTGGTCAGGCTGACTTCAGTCCCACCCATTGGTCCCCTCTGTTCCAGCTTGACCAATGGCTCGTCACCACCTCAGCATTACCTCCTGCTCTTAAGGAGAGCTCACCAGTTACTCTGGGCAGCTTGTCACAGCCACTTGACTTGTGTGCCTCATGTGTTGATTGTGTGCCATATTAGTGACCTAAGTACGTTGTTAGTTAGCCTCTGAAGTTGTGATTATTGAAGCGATTCACTTAAGTTTGTCATAGCCTGTTTGTGGTTATGTTTAGTAGCCAGTGTCACAGTACCTTTTGAGTGTTTGATTTTTGTGCGCATTTACCAGCGTGTGGCTGGCAAAAGGGTGGAAATAGGGCCAGAGTCCATACTGACCACCACATGTAGTATTTTTGTGTTAGTTTTAATTAGGCGTAGTGGGTGCTGTGCTCTTTGTATTTCTTAGTAAGAATCTACCTTGTTTAAATGTATAGTTGGGCACAGTCCTACTTTTGAGGACCTCTTTTATTTAACTTAGTTTGTTATTTTCACAGTACCCTCATCCACCCTCCTTTTGTTTGTTTGTTACCTGCCTGTACCTCTGGTTACCAATAAAAGTTACCTTTTTAAGAACAACTCAAGTTTAAGCCTATATGTTTATGGCCCCGCACCCCTAGACAACAGGGGGTTGTAACATTATTGGTAAAACCACAATAAACATAAACTGAACGTTACGAAGAAAACAGCGGCAGGTCCGAGCTACTGTAGCATTAGCTGGCTGATCCTGGCTGCATCACTATAGGCTAACGTTGGTAAACAAATTGCTCTACAATTGCTTTTTGCCATTACATCCGTTCTTGCAGGCTAAATCAACAGTGGTACACAGGATAGTAACATGGGTGGCGTTAGTTGATGAAGTAATGTGGAAAGTGAGATAACTTTGCACCAGATAACATTAGCAACTGCTCGGCGTTACCCGGCGAACTATTGTGACTTTCTCTGTGTTTCTCCAGCTTTACTAATGCTCACTTTGTTCTTACTTGACATCTGGTCTGGTCTGATGGGCTTCAGCACATAAACCTTTATTGTTTTGTATCCTTACGTGGAGCCTGTGTTTTGCTGTGAGCCGGTTGTTTTATGTTGTTAGTGGACTTCATGTCATTAGCTTCCGTGTTGTCGCTGTAGTCTGAGAGAGGCTCGGGAGCAAGCACAGGGCTGAATCTGACCTGGAGACCTCACATTACAGGCAGAATAGTGGCTGATGCAAGCAACGGCGAAAACAGGCGTGTGCTTCATTTCTAAGTGAGTTTTGAGCCCACTGACAATAAGGCAACTTACATATAGCCCATTTAACAGCAGCTATTTTTCCAATGATTGTGTATGGAAAAAATGTTGGGCCAGTGTGTATCACATGATGAACTTGGAAGTTGCAATACCCACGTGTCACGTCACTCCCTCCACACCTTGCATTATTATTAAACTTGGATTATCTATTTTTTTGCCACTCAGGGGTAGTGCCACCTGGCTGTAAACACAAAACTGACACTGTATCACCCTAAAAATGAACAGTTGCCTATTTATACATCGAATGCTGACATTAGCGTTCATTTGAAGTTGTGTGTCTGGTCAATAACCACTCTCCTTTTAGCTCTGTTTTAGTCTCCACCAACTCTAAAATATATAGCTATATGCTCCACTGCATTCGTCAGCTAGTTGCTAACTTTATGTGTTGCTTGCTGCTAGGCAGGTACCATGCAGTGGGTATGTCTTTTTCACGAAAAAACATCTGCCTGTATTATCCAGAAACATTGCTGATGAAAGCAGTGAGATTTAACAACAACAACAAAAAACAAATAAATCAGCTGAAGGATGCTAAAACACCCTGTAGAGCTGAGGGGAACTGTAGAGTCTGGTGATTATTCTCTGTGGGGTAATCCGTAATAGTCACCTTGTTAATATAAATACATTTTAAAAGATAATAATTATAGCAGCTTTAAGTTAGAATCCAACTTTGTGCTGTTGTCTCCTATCTGTCTTGGAAATTGTTACCAAACTGCAGTGAGTGTGTTTCTGTCTGTTTCTGTAATTTTGGAACAATGTCAGTAGAAGCAAGTTGTTGTACCAATTCGTCTCAAAGAAAAGCAGTCATTTTTCACAGGATTGTTTCATTTTTTTAGAGAAAGATGGACTCTCAATGGGTCAACATGTTGATAACAGATGCTATTCTTGTTGTGGAGGGCAGGGAGAAAAAAAAAACATAATTTGAAACAATTTAACAAGAAACTACAAAGCAAGGATAAATCTGACTCAGAGCTGTACATTTCAAAATAAACTGACCATTTTGCCTGCCGATTTACATCAAAACGCTTCACTTCTCTACACTGTATGATTTCACCCACTGTGATAACAGGAGCCATGACAGGTTATTCCCCACTAGAATTACCGAAAACCAACATTACCTGTTGATTTGATACCTTTCCCCTCTGAGGTGACGAGTTTGAAAAGGTCCCTTGATGTTATTTGGGAGTTTGAAATGACAGGCAAATAACTGATTGAACTTGACTGAGCTCACATTCAGTCATAAGACAAGTTTTGTGGAGCTGTCTGGGTCTCAAAATCAAATTCTGAACAGCAACATTCCCATTCACAAACAGGCTTCCACTAGTTTTAGATGAGTAATAGAAGTTGTGTACAGATGTTGGTAATATGGTTGATAAGATGGGATAAATAAATCAAATGCAACACACGCAAACAGCAACACAGCAAGATGACTCAAAGAAACAGGTCTAGTTTAGGTGGCCTTAATAAGATGAGTATTTCATTAATAATACTGAGATTATAATATAAAGCTAAATCTAATTCAATGCAAGATCCCTGCAATACCTATCAAGGCTATGATATTCTGGTTTTGATGACACTGTTTCAACTCTGCATTCATTTCAGTCCGTGGCGGTGTTGCATGTGAACACAACAACATTTATCCACCATGGTATTAGATACACCTTTCTCTGCAAATCAGTCTAGTCAACACCAGGCCTGGGTAGAATCTCCACAATTAACAGCTGAATCAACACCTCTTTGACATAGAGTCCTCAAAACCTGAACATGATAAGCTTCATGAAGGGAGAATTTATTGCAGGGATGTTAGATCAGATTTGGAAGAGTGTGCTTTACAACTTTGTAACTCATGTTATGGTGATCCTGTCTGAAATGCATGGGACACTGTGAAAGCTGTAAATAAAAAACATGCATTAAGGAGTCATAGCGGTGAAGACGCATAACAGAATTATAGGCTTTTTGATTTACATACACAATAGCAAAACAAGGGAATCAAAAATCAACTGGTAGCCTAAATCCCATTTTAAACTAGTGGAGTGGCCCTAGGATTTTTCAGTTGGTTGTGGAGACTAGGCCCGAAACATACATTTGTCCACAGCCATGCTAATGCTCATCATTGACAATCCTAAAGCCTCTTTTCCACCGCTGGTACCAGTTGAACTCGCCTCGACTCGACTGGGTTTGGCCTTCCTCCATTTTCCATGTAGCAGTTGTCTTCATAGCAATGCAACACACAACTGCTGGGACGTAATGTTCAACGTGACACTCTTGATTTAAGGTCAAACGTTTCAACCTTTTTATATACAGTCTACAGATTCAACATTACTGAGATTTTAAGGACGGTACGAAAATCTTACAGCTGTGGTTTCCTCACTGGCTGGTGGCTCGTTCCCACCGGCGGCACTTGAGGTGCTCCTCAACTCCAAAAACGTTAAAGTACATTTTTGATCCGCCATCAATTTCCGTAAAACTGCCAATATTAGAAATGTACTTAGAAGTTGATTTAGTGATGAAATAATATGAAAATTGTGATTATAAATTTTCTGTTGCTGGCGTCTGTCTGGTGTGTGCAATGATGATACAGTGAAGAGTGAAAAAGACGAATAGAGTTGAGGCGAGTCGAGCTGGTACCATGCAGTAGAAAATGGGCATTACATACTGACAGGTATTACTAGCAGGTTTAATGTTTGCCATGTTAACCATTTTGATTTAGTGTGTTAGCATGCTAACATTGGCTAATTAGCGCAAGGCTGATGTGAACGTTATAAACCAAAGTATTTGACAAATAAAAAATCTGATCTGATGTTGGCCCTAGATGAAAGTTTAAGGGATGCCCCATGCTATTTCAACTGACTCTGTGGGGGACATTAATGACTATTGCAAATTTCACGGCAATTCATCCAATAGTTGTTGAAACATTTCACTCAAAACCACAAATGTCAACCTGCTGGTGGCACTAGAGGAAAAATGAGAGGATCACAAAAGTCTACTTCTCTGGGGACCATGAACGATGTACAAAATTATGTGCCAGTCCATCCAGTAGATGTTGAGATAGTACACATAAGTGAAATGAGCTTGACCTGCAGATGGTACTAGAGTAGAAGTCAGGGGATCACCAAAGTCATTACAATTTTTTAGGAGGGGTCCATCTGACCAGCATTGCCATCCTTAGAGCTATGCTGCTAACATGGCAAGAAACTAGTCATCGTTAGCATACAGATGCTTAAAAGACACAAGGCTTTAGTTACACAACCATAGTTTATTACTGATGTAATCACTTACACAGATTAATGAAGTGTCAGCGATACCTACTGAAAGGAGATCAGCAAATCATACTTAGCTAGTCAAAAACAGTTTAGGGAACATTGTTGTCATGATCCAGCTGGCGACCAGATGCTGTGTGTTTAATTTACACTGCTGTTGTCTAGAATCTGAACACCAGAGCGGCGATAGAAAAAACAAAATCTGGCAGAAGCTATAGGAAATGGCAGAGTGATATTCAGAGGAAAAATAAACCACAACTGGATCCAACTTTTTCTGTCAGTTAACAGCTGGTAGATTTGATCAGTTTTTACCTTTTTACAGCACAGGTTTAGGTCAGCTGTCCTTACATTCTCAACAATATCTGGGTTGAATATAACACTTAATTATATTATAATTAGGTTAATTTTCCCTTTCTGTGTCATGGCACAACATTTGAATAATACAGTTATGAATGTGTTTGTGTATTTCTTTGAAAATCACCCTGAATATCTGCTGCTCAGCCACAGATTCTCATTTATCTGAACCTTTGAAACTACATTTCGTTAGAGAATAAAGCCACAACTGACTGAGAAAACAAAGTCACATTTTGTATTAAATATTTGCGATGCTTACAACAAACTGACCTGCTGTTCACCCAGGTCAACTTGTGATGCAGAATCCCCTGTAAAGGACATAAATACTCTGGAAATGAACACATAGGCAAATTTCACCATTGTCTTCCACTACAAGCAGTACAATGTCAGAATAATTCCTGTTGTCCGGTAAGGCTAATCACATGGAGTCCTTCAAAAAGATGGTCTGACTGATCCTCTTTTTGATGTCCATAGAGTTCAAGAAGAAGCATTCCGAGTTTTCCAAAGATTAACTGCAATCCAGAAGAAAGGAAGTCTCTATTTACAGAAAGGTCCTTTTATTGTTACTCTCTTCTCCTCTGATGATCCGACAAAGACCAGAACTTTTGGTTCACCTGTGGCAGAAAGAAATTTGGTTAAAATGAGTCCAGAGCCATCAAAGCAGCGCAAAATCCCATTTAAGGAAGTCATCCCACAAGCAAATCCATTATTTTTGTGGGTTAAATAATCCCATAATTTTATATATTATATACATGCCTGCTTCTCTCTATCAGAATTGTATAACCCAAAGAAAATCCAATGGAAATGAGTAGTTGACATACCATGACAGAGCATGACCTACAGTAATACAACTCCACTTTATCAAAAGAAAGTTTAGGCAAGAAGACGTGAGACTCCCGCCCACACTGATTGACATGACAAAGACGTTAGACCAAGCAACTACAAAAAGAGACGCATTATTCAACAATGAAGCCTCTTTTCATTCTGGGAGTCTGGTTTTTATGTTTGCCGCTGCGAGAAAACCTATTATCTTCTGAGGAAAAATAAGACCAAAGGTTTAAAACCCCTGCTAGTGGCCCTTAGAGGCCATATACCATTGAAGACTCGGATGGAGTAAACAGCATGCCAAAAGTTTTTCTTTGTCTAGAGGCATACCAGTGGTTTATGATAGGGGTGGTGTTACGGGTATAAGCCACAGGTCATTAAAATTGGGGGGGGGTTCATCCCATTGGGAGCATGAATGTGCTTCACAAATACAAACTGTAAATGTGTGAAGTTGATTTGATGACCTGAAGCTGGGGATAGGGAATAGTTCATAGCATCTAAAATGGATAGGATTCATTTTCTTAAGAGCATGAAAATACTCACAAATAACAAACTGGCATTGACAGATATTTTTGCCTAGGGGGCAGCAAAAAGAAGCTTTAAACACAATGTTGACACAGTATCACCTTACAAAGTTGAAATGGCAAAGTTGTTGCTTACACATCCAGCTGTTACAGAGCATTAGCAGTCATTTATAGTCAGTTAGTGGCTACCAGACAAATTAGAATATTCACTCTCCTTTATGCTCTCGCTTGGTCTTGACCAACTCTTAAATAAATAAAGTACCTGGTTCTTAAGCTTCTAAATGCTCCGTTATGTTAATTAGTTACATGCAAACTTTGTCTGCTTTTTGGTGCAGGGCAGCACACAGTGTGGTTTCTAAGTTCCTTTTCTCTGAAAGCAGCTATGACTTGAAACAACACTGATGCGAGCTGTGACAGTCAATCAAAACAGTAAAGTTGCGGGCCATAAGACCAAAACACAGAGCTGAAATATGTTAAAATGCCCATAGTCATTTGATCCATTGTTGATATAAAAATACTGATTACAGACGCTTTATGGTTCATCTTAGAGGCTGACACTGGAATGGATTTTCACTCCTGTCCCATCTTGTGCCCACAAAAAAAATAACCTTTTCCCATCCCAATCCCATGAGTGAATAAATATAAAAAACGATTTTTAAAAATCAGAAAATAGCGTTTAGTCGCATATTTCCCTTGAACCACAGGATTCCCAAACAAATGTCAGCCTCTAGTTCATTCTCCTCATACTAATGCTCACAGGAGTTTTCAAAAACATCTTCCTCTGAACGAACCAATTGAACAATATCACCATTAGTTCATGATGCTAGCATCATCTTAACTTTACTGAAACTGGTGATAAAAAACAATTTTGTTAAAAGAACTCCAGTCTATGTATTGGACAGCAAGTGCCAAGAATTAGCTTCTTCACACCATCTACACAGCAGGCTGAAAGACAGCAGTCAAGTGTAAAGGTCAAGGACATGTGTGGAATTCTGTGGAGTCAATATCATTCCAGTACCTAATAAAAGACATATATTGGCTTCATCTATCAGCACGTCGATCTATCAGTTAGATATAGTGTTCAGGATAGAGGATGCTGGTGAGCTGCGTCTGTGCTCCACACAAAGATTTTCTCTCTCAGAGTTCGATGCTGTCAGATACTCTGAAGACCTCCTTTCTCCTTCAGATTAAATTGCCTGTCATGAAGCTCAGTGGCTGACTGGCAGCTGCTCTGCTCCTCCAAAAGTATATTCTAGAAAAAGACTCCTGAGGAACATAACATAACAACCTCGTCGTCCGCTATCGATTCTAACCGTCTGTCAGCCGCCACGTAGGATTGGCTGAATGAGGGAAGCTGTATGAGAACTTGTAAGGCTCCATTATCGATGCTGAACTTTTGATAGGAAACAGACAGCACTGATAGCATGGTTAGATGAATTCACAAAAGGCCGTTTGAAACAGAACAGGCCAGAGCAGCAGTGCTGCACTGCACAGCATCATATAAATCATCCTCAATTATGCAGAAAAGCAAAACAATCCAAAAACCATCAGGTCATCACTTGACAAGGAAACCTGCATAATCATATCAAACACAGGGTAAAGAGTTTCCATAAATTTAGGTTGTTACAGCACTTTGCTGGTCTCTGTACAGGCTGCGATAAATTCTTTCCTTTACAGAGTCATTTACATTCTGAGCTGTCACTGTGATTAATGTGGTACTAATTTGAGAATAATTCCACTCTGAAAAGACAAAGAGCAGAGCCGCCTCTTGTCAGAAGAGAAAATGTCTTCAGAGATGGATCTACACTGTGTCTCACTTCATGAGGGGGGAGGGGATCATTAACACTATTTGATTGACTGTCTGAAACAATGCTAAAAATACTGAGAGGAAAGCTAAGTCTTCGGTGGGTGTTGCGTTCATTTAATTGGTGGCTGACAAGTGCTAATTTAACTGGCAAAGGATTCTTTTCCATTTAGTGCCTGAAGTAAGGTTTTCTGAAAGATTTAACACAGCAGGTGTTGGAGCTTGTGTTGTGTGTAATTCAGCCGTGTAATTGCTGCACCACAGTGTCCTTCTCAGCAATATGTTTTGTTGCTGGGATTTTCATAGTATTTTAAAGCTTCGCTAGGCAGAATTTTAGGTGAGAATCCACCTGTAAAATCAGCAAAAACAGAAAGCAGGCAAACTGCAGATTCCACTTTACCCAAATTAGGTTTTACTGTTAGGACTAACAGGTAGTTTTCGCCACAAATCACAAGAGGGAAATGCATAGGCAAGATGCGGCTCTGCATTCATTTGAATGGTACCATAGAAATGTAGTAGATTCAGGGAGCACATAGGGTATAAGGAGGAGAAAGCATTCAGTATAGACTTGTCAGGCACGACGGTTACTATAACATGAACACCTGCCTCTGTTACAAACACACCTACTAGGCAAACAGTACTATCTGTCAAAGTTGAGAGGTGTCAGGCCGTTGTGACGGAGTATTCACAGTGAAGTTGCTCTAGAAAACTTTGCACCTTGACTGCACCAAGTGGAAATGACAGATAACACCTTTTGTTTTAGTTTTGAAGGTTTAAAACTCAAAGAATTTGTCTCCCACAAATGCTGCTCATCACATTCTCAGGTTGCAGCTACAGGTCATGAACACGAATTAGTCTACCGCTAAAAACTATAGTGTTTCTGCCGATTAGAGATGTATGACTTTTATTATTTATACCATATGAAAGCAAAACCTAATTAGATTCGATAAGAGATTTTGAAGGTATTTGTATTAGAGCAGAAAAAATTGATCAATAAATCAATTAGTTGATCAACAGCAAATGTATCTGCAACTACATGAGAATCGATTCATTACCAAATATTTGATGATTCCTAAATCTCTCTTTGTCATATATGGTTGTAAACTGAATATATATGGCTTTTGGAATACATCACCATAGGCCATGGGAAATTATAATATTTGTGACAATTTTCTGACCTTTTATAGACAAAACAATTAATTGAGTAAAACTGCACTGTTAATGTGGATTTGATAGGCAGATTTGATACTGGATTTTGGTTTGATAAAATCCCATAAAGCCACAACCCTATACCTAACATCTGAAATGAAATCATAGAAACTGAATCAATGATACGGAATGAGATACTCCTGTAAATTGCAACCTTGAGTTTTTTTTATTGGCGGGTCACATTAAAGCCAATCTGAATTTATTAGTAAAATTCTTGCTATATATCATATCAAAACACATACTGTACCCCTTGGGGGAAGATGACAAACTCGTATCCAGGTATATATGGAATGGCAAAAAAACAAGAATGAATTGTAAACCCGTACAATGAACAAAAGAACCTGGAGCTCTGATGCTTAGTATTATTGGAGAGTAATATTAGGCAGCTCAGTTAAGGCCTCTCATATGCTGCTGCTACCCTGCTTATTTGCCCGGTGGAAGAAGTCTGAACTAGCAATGACTAACAGGGTCCCACATCGAGCCATTGTTTCCAATAAAACACTAATCAAACATCTTTTGGACTGGTCAAACCCATTTATTAATTTGTTTCTTCTAATTTGTCAGATCTGGCAAGACACTCCAAAATTGTACAATTTACTGACAATACCAAGACGGTTGGTGCCTTTGATAGCCAGAAGAGACAATAAATAGACCGCTTACTTTACTCTGATATACAGACTGCACCAATTTGTCTTATTGCTTCTGCACACAAAATGCCATCAGAATCATTTGAAAGAAAATATGATCATGTACACATTTTACACACAGTGCCTTTTAAAATCTGTCCTAATGAACATTCAAGAGTGAAACACAAACCTGTCTGAGCGAAACTAAGACACTTCAGTCTTCCTGCTCTGCCCACTTTCAAACTGTGAGATCTGGTATGTGCAGGATGAACTGACACTAACAAATGTAAAACTAAAAGAGAAATACAAACAGCGTTGTAAACAGCAGTGATTGCTCTGTGTGCAGAAAGCTATTATTAGTCTTTACTCTCTCACATCCCTCTGGTATAAAGCATCACAGACTGTGTGCAGTTTACTGACGTCACCTTTCAGGATTTCTGTGTTTACAAGTCCAAATGACACAATTTAAACTGTTACCTCTCGCTGCCATTTAGGGGCCCCAAATGTTCGACTTGTATGTGCAGCTCAACACCTTTGCGTGGCAGACAGTGTTCATCGCTCCAGACTGAAAGACTGTATTCCCCACCGTGTCCCGGGCTTTGTAGTAGCCAGCCGCTGCTTTGTTTACACTTTGAATTCTCAAGGTGTCTCCAGTTTGAATGAATGCATTTATGATACAAGGCGATAGAGATCAGTATAGCTGGAGGTTCCAGGTTCATGTTGTGCTGTTTTCCCAAAAGCTCAGCAGAGGTGAAGAAGAAAGACTGACCCCCTGCTGCTTCATGCAGCCAGCAGAAACATTTGAAACTTAGGAAACTTGTTTCTCTAGCTGAGTTAAAAGGTGTGCAAGATAAATCCACTGGGTAATGCTGATGCTTTGAACAGGTTGTTATTGTCTTTTTGGATCATACACATTTCCTCACTCTTTTCTTTATCTCTGGTGTAGTTACACTACTGGGGAATGTGGTTAATAATACCATTGGCCACATCTCTTTTAATGAAAATGTGAAGTGATAAAGATATACATACTGGTACATTATTTTTGTACTATAAAGTAATAACACAACACATTAATGATCCCTCTTAGGATTTTCTTTGTATTTTTCAATTGGAAGTTAAGGCCACGATTAATAAAGACTAGTAAGACCAACAAATATTTGAAAAAAACAAACTTACCAAACTGTCTTACCTGGACTCTGCAGTGAAGCATATGACATTACCAAAGCTGGTCTCTGTCCGCGGATATCTTTCCAGTCATCCATGATAAAGGAGACAACAAAACAAAATATGTTACTTGAATAATTTAAGGTCTTATCAAGAACTGATAATTACCAATATCTATTTCCAGACATCACCAATAGTTCAGGCTTGCCTCAGAACCCCGGACCACTAAAAGAAAAAAAAAGATATATATCCCATTTTGAGGTCCCGACAACTCCCTGAATCAATAGCCCCAGGCTCCAGGCTCCCGGCTGCAGGCAGGTGTGGTGCGGGCAGTTTAAATAATTAAGTACATAGAGAGAGGCAGAACTGAAGTCTACGGGTCGTCATAACACATTGAAGGATACGGCGTCATGTTACAACGTTAAAAGCAGGTAATTGGAGTGAGTAATTGGCCAGTTTGGGCGCTCAAAGTGGCCTGAAAGTGCTAAGGAGACATGGCAGCCCATTGATTACAGGCCCCCAGGGGTCCAAGCACTGACTACAAACATAGCCCGTTTTTAGGTGAAGGCAAGGCAGACGACTGTAACGGAAGCCACAGCCTGTTGACCTTGAAGAGCTGAATTGTGCGAGGTCAGGTTCAACAGGTCTGAATGTGGTATCATGAAAGTGATCGTTTCTTAAACATACCTTAGTAGTTTTGATCTTGTTCCCTGTAGCACAGCTCCAGCCCTTCAGATCAGGAAGAACTTTGCATTCCTCCCCATCAAGGCACGGATGCATCTGACACCACCATTTCTGCTCCACTATCGAGGCTGGTGAAGAGATGTAGAGGTCGAAGGGCAAATGGTGAGAATTATCTCTGTTCGCTTTGTTTTTGCTGCCTTTCTGCCAGTGTTAACCCGCTTCATTGAAATCTACATGAAAAATATCCATTGACGAGGTTAAAATAAAATAAAAAAAATCTCTTTTTCGAGCTGATTTAGCTGCCTGACCTGCTGCAGTAATCTGCAGCACCTCCGAATAACGTCTCTGCGATTACTGTTAGCTAATATAACTGTTCTACTGAAAATTCATCAAGAAGTGGAAACAAAACAGCGGGCAACTATCAAAGCATGTGGGCCAGCACACATATACTTTAGGAAATATAAGCGTAATTTTATTAAGGGCTGTGGATGTGATGTAAATGTTCCTTTCAGTCAGCTATCTTTCATGAGTGCGGGATAAATGTTGTCAGCTTTGTAAATCTTCCCCTAGATGTACATATAAGGAATATTGCTTCTAATGGTAATGCACTGAGGAATGTTCAGGGTGTTAGTTATACGTGTGTGTAGATGTATATAAATAACTGTGTTTTATTTTATTTTATACGTTACCATATTTTAATATAGGCACACTTAATGATATGTTGTGTGTGTAGCACGAAGGAACTACAAATTTCTTTTCGTGATGCAGTTTTGTGCTGTATAATGACAAATAAACAACCTCACCACTTCTCACAAGCTGCCGGTGCCCTTCTCTACCCTCTCTGCTGGCAGAGACGGAGTAGGGAGAAGATCTGTGCTTTTTTTTATCCAAGCGTGTGCATAAAGTTGCTCATTAATGTCACTTTTCGTGAGCCAACCAATCACAGCCTGTACTATGCAGGACATTAAAAAAAAGGTTGATGTGGTACTACAGCAAACTTGCAAAAATAAACTGTTCTGCATGAATGGTTCTGATTATTGACAAGTTAGCACTTAACATTAACAAATTAGAAACTAACCACCATGTAGAGCATTTTTCTTGCACAAGGGTTTAATGAATGAAAACAATGCACCATAATGAAATTAACTGGAATTAAAATTATACTAGTATACACGATCCTGTCCTGAGTGTTTTCGGGTTTTCTTTCAAAGGGTTTGGGTTTGTAGCAGTTATTTAGTCTGTGTTTTGGTTCCATGTCTTAGTTCCCAGTCTGGTGTTTATGTCGTAGTATTTGACCCTTGTCCTTGTACTTCAGTGTTGTGTTTTTGATCTGTACAGTATCTCTGTCTCGTATCTTAGTCCTGTACCTTAGTTTATGTGTCAAGTGTTCACTAGCTATATATGATCCTATTATCTGAAATTCCTTAAGAAGACAAACTTTAAGAAAACGGTTCAATCTGTAGGCAGACATTAGCCAAATAAAGTGTAACCTGTAAATATATTAGTATTACACAAACATTAAACTTTTTATTTAATGTTATAATCTGTGTGAAGCGGAATGCATGACCTACAAAGCTGGTATATACGTGTCAGTGTCAAATAAAGGTTCTAGCGATCTACAACCCACATGTTGGCCCTATTAAAGTTCAATAACATAGTTGCATGCTTACCACCCCCCCATACACATTGCCACTCTTTCCACCCATTGCGGGTGTCCGCCTGCCTCCCTCCCCACTGTCCTCTTTATTGAAAACTATGGTCACCCTACTAGATAGCAATACAACAAAAATAAAGCTTTTTATGATTGTAATGTTACTTTAGCTTACCCTTTTGTCAGTGTTGCCGTGTTGGCCTGCATGTTTTCTTATTCATGTCCTAGCTGTTTTGTCACTTTCATCAGAAGTTTAAGACTAATCATGCAAAATGAACACGACTTCATGCTCTTTATTGTAGGACAGGACCATTTGTGTTCATGTTCCAATTCCAAGGACATTTTCATGATAAGAGCCAGAAATGAGGAGTCTCCGCAAATGCCAGTCAAATCATCAGAGCTGTAACTAGTCAAATCATGTCACATTTTGACAGCTGTCTCAGGTTAAGTGATGTAAGGTTTGCTTTTTGACTTGCAACACTGACTAAATCTATTTTGAGTATTCAAACGCATCAAGGTGTTGAGAGCCTTGTCATACATATCCATGTGCTCAAGATGGGGACTGCAAAAAGACGTGACTCCAGTCATGTGAGGGGGGAAACCTTCAGCTGCAGTGAAAACATCTCCTCAGTTGCCTCCACAAAAGTGAACATTAAGCTTCTGCTACTCTATTGTAGAGTATCATTTAAATTTGGGATATTACAGAGGTCATTATCTACGTTCCACATCCCACTTCACCAGCATTAGTTTTCTTCCTAATGAAGAGGACGGTTATTATAATCCACACATAACACTAGAGCCTCACTAGAGTAAATTGCACAGAATGGATACTTTATGACGTGAGGGAATCGATTTGTACCACACAGCCATGGTTATAGCAGCAGTGTGGTGTAAAACATGCATCTGGTCAACTGCAAGCAGATGGTGGCTGTGTAACAGCAGCTATTAAAAAGCCACAAAGGTTTCTCATGAAATGAAATGGGAGTATTGATAACCAAACATACATAAAGTGCATGGGATACATTTCACTTAACAGTTAATGATGCTTTAAAAACACAAAGGCAGCTTAGACTGAAAACATCTGGGAGCAAAAACATCGATTTATCTTTTTATTTTTTTATTGTAGCTGTAAAAAAAATTCCTTGCTTTGACCTTGAGCTTATATTCATGAATGTTTTTTTGTTTCCCCATTTATGAAAGTAAAGGGCTAACAAGTCTGTGAGAGTTCTGAGCTGCATGGCCACTTCAACTCACGTTGATATATCATCAGCTTGATATATATTCTTTTTAAATATTGAAAAATCAAGACATTTATCTCTTAATCAAAAGTTTAAAAGCCTTTTTACAATCATATGCCAGCATTGAAGATTACCATGTGAGTGTTCTGGCAGAGTGTCATGGGAGTGCGGCCAAAGCATGTAGTTCTGGCAGGAGTGGCACATTAGCTAGCTCATAGAAGAGAGTAAGTTGTAATTCTGCAAAAGTGCAAAACTGGAAACCACCTCTGTCTGAAGGTCAGGGTAAGGTATTACAAAGATATTGATGCTCAGTACACATTTCTTCATTATATTTAAGCCTGTTGTACCTTCCACAGACTGGTGACATAATTATGGATTGAGTAATCAGCAGCATAGTGTGTGTGTGTGTGTGGGAGACTCTCAAGGGAAAGGCCTCCATTGGATTGATCACATGACAGTTGGGATGAGTTGTCAGGCAACCAGTGATTCCAGGCAGTTACTGGTCCCAGTAACTGCCAGTTACTGGTCTGACTCATAACGCAATGTTAAACGGCTAGTTATTTCCCCCTGCTTCCAGTCTCATTGCTAAGCTGAGCTAACAAGCTGCTTGCGTTTGCTCCATATTTACTGTACAGTCAACAGGTTTCAATCTTCTCATCTAACTCTCTACAAAAAAGTGTATTTCTAAACTGTTGAACTGTTCCTTTAAAGGGTTAGTAAGTGAGTGTAATCCAATATGCGTTTTGTTTTGTTTGCTTTTTGTCAGCAAATATTTCCTCACGGTTTGCTAGCTATCTGTTTTGTGTGTGCTCTGAAAAAATCAGTGTTCCTACACAGCTCTGGTTCTGTAAATTTAAAACAAAAAAATTGGTGCACTCCTTCCCCACAACATTGTTCCAGCCAAAAAGCAACAGGTGATGTGGCGTAAGTGCGCATGCACAGGAGCAATGGTAGAGAGAGTTCTACACACCAGGCAATCGAACATGCTAGACTCCACGCCCTATGAATGTAATGTGAAGGAGAGCTGGATGAAACAGCCAAAGTGGAAAAGGTATGAAGAGTATAAACAGAAGTAAGTTATATGACCAGACAAGGGCGAAAGCGTTTCAACAATAGAAAAATTTCCAAGATTTTAAATTTGGGGGCGGAGCTTATGAGGGATCTCTGAAGGGAGGGGTGTATTTGTTTGGCTGTTGAGTTCAAATATCAACAATTTTTTTGCAGAATCACTTAGTCTCCATTTAAATTAGATATAAGTTACTTTCCAGTTTCTGTATTTCAGTTTTGTATTTCACAGAATGTTAACTAATGTTTGCAAGTTCATTTGGATCCGTCACCCTGCCAAAGACTCCCACTAAGGTTTATTTAGGATGTCTTTCTGGAGAGACATCAGGTAATGAAGAGGTCACAGTTCAGTGCCAAGTAGTGAAAAGGAAATAAAACGCCATTTGCAATAATCATTTTCACCAGAAATGTATCCATTCTTGCCACATTATCTAACCCACAGCCAGTGTGGTCTACATGCTAGCAGATGAGCTTGCTGGCAGTAGTGCTACCTCAGCTACTCTTGTCAGTCACTTGACCACTTGACCATCGCCTTGCAGGTTGTGGTGGTCCCTTGAGAATCTCCCATAAATCTTATTCATTCTAGTACATCAGGTTGATATGAGTCCATCCACTGGACTGTTAACTACCACAACTACAACCCAGTGGATGCTTTTAATGTTGACACTGAGTGCGGCGGCAAGACAGGAAACCTGTTTTCCCATTTATGTTGTCTAATAGCTTTATGATACAGTTTTCCCTTCAATCTCAATGTTTTGGCTCATCAGCACCAACAGAATGTTCATTTAAATCAAAAGGCAGCATCGTGAAACTTTAGTTTGAAACGTCATTCAGTAAAGTTTGCAGGTATTCTCTGTGTCTACCTCTGTAAATTACACATTCAAATCTATTCAAGTTTTCTCAGATGTCTGGAGGTTCATTTATCTTCATATAAAGAGGAGATTGTCTCACACAGAGTGGAGCTAAAGGTAATCCCTGGTTGTAGAAGAAAGAATAATTAAAAGGTTAAGTGCTGATCATTTTTTTCCTGAGATCACCCATGGAGCTTTAAACTGAGGCCAGTGGCTCACAGCGCTAATTTGCAGAAAATGTCAATACTAAAATGTCAAGGAATAGGTCAAACACGATTGGGTCCAGAGTTTAGCCAGAAACTCGCGCTTTGGAGACCAAAGAGAGACAGCCATTTCAGCCGAGTTGGGGGTCTGACACATTAGCATGCTAAGAGACCCTCTGAGTCATTGACTTTACAGTCTGCAGTGGACAGCTTCGCAACCATTCACATGTGATTAAAAAACCCTTCGGGAGCCTCTTTGTACGGCCCCTGGATTACTCGCTGGATGCTTACAGTCATATATAGCAAGGTTACAGTACGTCAGCCTAATATGTCAAAGAATCAGATAGGATAATCATGACCAAAAAATGGAAGTAATGGCACTGCTGCTACTAATGCTCGATCACTGCTACAGTATTTTTATACCACCATAGTAATCCTTAAATTAGTATTACCACTGATGCCGCTGATTAGTAAAACAGATACCTCACCTAATTCTGGATCTACTACTGCTATTATTACTACCACTACTACATTGTTACTGCTGGTCATACTCTTAGCCCACAACTTGTTCCACCGCTTCTGTACAGTATCATACACATTAGTGTATATTGTAAAGGACATTATGAAACCTTTCAAGGGGAAAATGATAAACTGCAGGCTTAATTTTATATACTTTACTATAGAATTACTATTATTTTAATTTTATTTCCACTATGGGATATTTGAAGTTAGAAGCTAGTAGTCTGGGGAGATTTGAAGAAAATCACATATTGTGACCAGTTTTGGAAGAATATAGGATGTAGACAGAGTTTAGATGTTTTACAGTTATCTTACAGTAATCATACATACCAAGCCCAGAGAAAGTTATTGACTGTTTCCAGCTTCTCTCTTTTCATCTATGATACTGTAATAAACAAAATATCGTTGGCAAGCTATTTAAATATGTCTGTACTTGAGGGAAATAGTTATGGCTATGTTTCACTACTCCCTGACATTTTATAGAGATAGAAAAAAGGTAGAACACACCATGGAAGACCCCCCTCTTGGCAAAAAGTTAGGGTAGAGAAATGTTTTGGATCAGTTAAATGATGAGTTTGATTTGAGTCTGAGGCTCTAATTTAATGCATTTTACTTTTTAAAAGTATGATGTTGTGAGGTATTGTAGTTAACGTGTGTTTCTTATATCTTGATCCTGTACATTGTTTCTGTTGTCCTCCATAATTGTAGTTTGTCAATGAAATGGTAAAACAATACCATTGGGGCTACATACAGAAAATAATATACACCTAGGTGTTCTTGTTCTATGATCAAAAGCATGTGGATAAAATACGTAATTAAATAGACTGCGTAAGTTCTTCTTTTTTGTAGCACTTTTCATTGCACCTCCAGCACCTAGCAGAGCCTTTAAGCCAGCTGAGAGGTGAACACTTTAATCCTTCTGATTAACACATTTGTAGACCAAACAATCAATTGAGAAAATAATCAACAGGTTAATTAAAAATCCACAGCATATGAAGATTTTAATTCACATCTTTTGAATTTGAAGTGAGAAATGGCGTAATTATCATGCAGTTATCACCAGCCCCTTACTCATGTGTTGTGGTATAACAGGATATTTGTGTCCATTGTGCTGTAATAAAAATCACTTTTTTCCTCATTATGACTTGTACATGTATAATACAAAATGTAATTATGTAATTGCCTAATGTTCCCGTTATAATCTACTAAAGCAACATTGTGAAAATGATTGCAGACTACTAAATGTTGCCCCTTGACAGCATCTTCTACACAAAATTAAGTGAGTTGGTGTGTGCTGGGACAGTTATCGATGATCTCTGCAAAACTAATCCTCAAGATTTGTAGGGAGGGAGTATCAGCAAAAAAAAAGAAAGGAAAAAAAAGGAGATAGCCCATGAAATATTTAGCTGGAGCATACCATCTACACAAGATGGGGCAGCTCTGGTGGTGCCGGCCACTTGCCCGGGAAAGCAGGAGCACTTCACAGTTTGTGACCGCTCCTCGATTTTGTTCTTGTTGCAGCAGCGATGCAACGCCACCACCTCGCAGGTGCCTGTTCGGACATGGTGCACTGCTGGAGAAACAACAGGAAAGATGGAATAATCAGTATTCAATCATCCCCTTATCTACACACACTCACTGCAGGCCTTGGACTGAGTCCTTTAAGAATATCTCTCTCGGGCGTCTATTGTCTGCTCTGTTTCCCTCTCATCAAGAAAGAATTACCAAGAACAGCAGACTACCAATTTATTTAAAAGGGCTCTTCTATTAGAGATGGTTCATTTTTCCTCTCTTTAGGCTCTTTTTTTTTATTTAAGTATCATTTTCAAGTTTTTTAAGGTTGAAAATTTAGATTTTCATAGTCTTTAAATTTAACAGGTATGACATTGTTGGGGGACGTACAAGAGACAGACTGGGAAAACATCTGAGATTAATTGAAGCAGCAGAGGCAGATATCCTGACTTTTAGTCTTTACTATGGGACAAGCTCCTAAAAAGGTGCATTCTACATTTCCCATAATGTGCCCTGTGGAGCTTTTGACCACCAGTAGCACTCCGGAGCAGTGTTTTTATGAGTCCCTGTTACATGTGGACTTTGCAATAGACACTCTTGGAGTTTGTTTCACACTATTCCACGTACCAACAATTGATGTGACAATGCCCAAAGAACTGTAGCAATTGGCCAGCAAACGCAAGGAAGAAAATGACAGATCACAAGTAAATATGGATCTTAACAATGTAGAATTTAAAATTGTAAAAAAAAAAAAAAAATTGTCTTTACAAATGTTGGATGGGGAAGAACATGCATTTAGCACACAATGCATTTTGGTAAGAAATGCTGAATGTGTTTTCAAAACAACTCTACTGGGCACCTTTTACAGTAAGGTCAATCCAGATTTTTGTCTGGGACTTGTCTGGGAGGTCCCTTCTGAGCCACAAAAGACTGTTGTTGCAAGTGGAGTAGTGCTCACCGTGGCAAGTTACCAAGTCTTCATGTGTTTAATTGGTGCGGTGTCCCTTTAAGACCATTTAGTACTAGCAGCAGCTTGAAGCAGTGTAGTTGAGGTAACCAATCAGGATCTGGCATTGTAAACATCACAAAAAACTTTTTTAAAATCCTGTTCAGTGTATTTGATGAAAAAAAATGGATCTTTAAATAAATAATAACTTATTGAGATGGTAATGATTGAAACTGATACCACTCCACATTTCCCACAACAAGAAGCAGCCCTTAAAGAAATACAGATATGTGAAGGGGAAAGTGCAGCGCTGCAGGATTTAGAGCCAATTTCCAGATCACGCTCCACTGTCTGAATTATTTAGAGCCTGAGCTGCTCCATTCTCTTTTAATTGCATGTGACATTTTCTTGAGGTGTCCGTCTGCTGAGATACTCACTGCTGCTGCTGTAAACAGTAAATCTGAAAAGACTGCGTGAAAGTGGTCCTATCTGTCTGTACTGTAGTGGCTCAACTGCACCAAGTTAATTACGTTTTCACTTCAGCGTGTCGTGTTGGTGGACAGCTACTCTCCAACTACTGAGACTAACAGTGATGGAATGCTCAGCTGGGACAGAGTGATCTCATATCAGATCAAGACAACTGTTGAGCATCACAATACCTCTGGGATTTACCTGTTCACTGCATATCTGCTCTTAATAGTCCTTCCTCATAAATAAAGATTTGCAGGTAGGTGGCCAAAAGCAGTGGAATGCTTACTCATGCTCTGCTCCAAACAAGAAAAGATATGAAAGACAAACACACAGCAAGCTGAGCTGCATTAGATGTTTGCAAGAGAAGTGCTGCAAGTATCTCTCTAAAGGACATGCTTCACACTGAGATGCTGTGGTTTTTCTGACTGGATTTTGGACTTCTACTTGGATGCGTACTCAGCTTCTCTTGCCAGCAGACACAGAGAAAAAGCATTTCACTTGGGAATCAGTCTGTCCTGCAAGCCAGTCCAGCTTTAAACCTGCTGCACTGTAGCTGTGACAGGGAGGGATCCCTCTCGGCCTGAACACACTGCTCTCAAAATTTTATAAGACAGACAAGATACCATGGCATTTAAATAGCAGGATTGAGAGGCATCCTAGTGGCCTAGTGGTTAACAGACATACCATATAACCTCAACATCCCCACTTTGCTTCTGGGTGGGGATATTTGCTACATATTGTTCCCTTCTCATGCATGGAAAACCAGACAAATTTTTTGGGAAAAGGACATGCAACTAAAAATTGTGAGTATGCATTATGGTGAAACATTTACTGTACAAAGATTGTAAAAAATTTTAAACTTGTTTTCTAATTCTCTAAACCACACACTAAGCTTTGTTTTCTTTGTTTTCGTTGCCCAAACTGAACCATGTTTCAGAAAATGTCCAACAAATGCTTGTCTCCTATTTCTGTAAATCAAGTTACCTTCACATAATTCTTGCACCTCTCATATCTGCACTCATTTCACAAATTTCCATGAGATGGTGTTGGTTTTGTCTCGTCTGACAGATTCTTTTAGTCATGCTAGCAATATGGCTCAGAGAATGTAGGTGTTGGTTGGTCTGTAGGTCGCTGGGCCCACCAATTTGGTCCAAATTTCTCAGCAACTACCAGATGCAACATATCCTTAAACCTAAACGACAGATTATAATAGGCACCAAAACTAGTTGCTTCGGTTTAGAAAAATAAGATGGTTTTGTACATTATGTTAGTAAGTCTCATGTGACTTATGTTTGGGACTTAAGTGACTTAAGTAACTTACATACATACAAGTTTAAACTAACTGACACTGACTTTTGGCTTCACATGGGACATGAACAGCAGTATACTGGGTGAAAGTCCAGTGTCCACCCATCCCAGCTTCCTCCTCCTCTTCCTCCCAAAAGCAGGTTGGAATGACATTGCAATCAGATCCTGAGAACTAAATCTAACATGAACTCCCAACACTTCATGCTGACTATCAGGCAGTTTTATGTTTTTACCAGGCACTTAATTCCTTTCAGTGAATCCTTTGAACCAAAGTTGCTTTCAGCGAGAAGTGATGGGCCATTTCTCTCTGCGCTGTACTGAAATTACTCTGCCTGAGAAGCTTTTATACGTTGGTCTCTGGAGATGGAGAAGAAACTGCAAATGATGCATACTTTGTATCATTCACATGGCTGTTGTGAGTAATAATGTAATCATTGCTTTGCTTTAGAGGCAGCGTTGTGTGTAGACAAAAATATACATGTACAAGCCTACATCACGAGGCAGAGAACTGTTATGTGAGTAGTGATGAACAGATTTTCCCCTCAAACAGTGTGACAGATGAGGAGCACAATCTTTCAGCCCCAATTACAAATCAGAATCAGGGTGCCAAACTCAATGCAACCGTAATACACTGAGCATATGGTTTGATTGTTATATTTAACATGGGAAACCTGTGGTGTCTCTGACTGTTAGTTTCTGCTCTCTCAAGGGTGCAAGTAGTGTTTTCCTTTCTTGGCAAGATGCTTCTTATGCATCATATAAGTCATTTTTATTACAAAGTGCAGAAAGTCTAAGGTGCAGAGCAAGCAACAATCGCTGATGCATATAACACAAGACATAAGTCAGATTTCGAGGTCATACGTCAGTGCAACATTTACAAGAGCAAGGAAAGCGCCACTGAAGACATACTGCTAACTGGAGCGACACCTATATCACCAGTGCTACATGTCTAAAAAGTACTGAGTGTGAACCATCAAACGTATTTCATTCTGCTCAGGTTCAAGTTCCCCCTTTGCAACTTGTGTACCTTGATTCTTGCTAAGTGGTTTCCCATTGTGGACACTGAAACTCGAGGCTGTAATGTGTCTGCAGGGATCACGCTAGCACAATTTGAAGGTCAGAATTTAAACTCTCTATGCCCATCTGGGCAACTATAAAGTCTGAAGGTGCTGTGTCCACAGACAAAAGTCAGGTGGAGATGTATTCTGGCCTTTTTTTCTCGTGATGTAAAGTTATCTCAGTCACTCAAGTAGATTTTTTACATAACTGAACAATTATGTACATGTGAGCCTACTTACTACTTACATATTATAGTATAACAAATTTTATCTTTACATGTCAGAACTATGCTCAGCAACCTGGTGACTGTCTGAGTATGGTTTGATTATAAACAAAGACGTATCTACACGTATTCAAATTGTGTTTACTGTTCAAATTTTTCACCAATCTTAGTTGTTTTACTGTAAAGTACTTCAGGGTTTTACCTCTAAAGGCCTGGAAATTTTCAAATTATACCATAAGGCAACAACCCTTGTTCGTTGAACAATAAACCACAAGAAATGTGCAACCTACAAGAAAAGGGTACCAAGTTGACATCACTTTGCTTTAAATGGTTTAATATTTTTGGGACATTTTATGCCGTTATTAGACATTGGACATGGTTGAACAGTGCTGGTGAAAAGTGTTAGATGGTTAGTAGGATTAAATGACTTATATAATATAAATATTAAGTTCGGTATGCTTCAAGGAAATAGCCACAGCCCACCCTGCATTTCCATAGCTGCATGCAAACTCAAATACACAACTTAATATTTTGGAAGGTAGCAAAGAATAACATGGTCTAAATGATGAACGTGGCCTAAAGGAAGCCTAATGATGTCTAAAACCCCCAAAAGTTTGATAGAGGTGCAGCCCAGTAGAATTTGAGGTGCCATAACACTTTCTGGCACTAGACTGGAAGCAGGAATGGTGCAACCATAAGGTCCTCGCCTTAGACCCCCATGCCACCAGGATGCCTGTGCTCCATGGGGGCCACATAGTAGGAAATGTAATAAATATTCATATTATCCTAGGACCTCCCACTGCTTGTGGATTGTTGTTTTAAAAAAAGGTTAGAAAAAGGTTAAAAAAACAACAAGGAAAGGAAGAACAAGTTGGATTTGGAAGGGGGCTTGTGCAACAAGCATAGGAGAGCAGGTAACTCGAAGGATCGATTACAGTAGACGCTAATGAAAATAAATCAGGTGTCCCCACAACAAGCCTGAGACTGAATCCTCTGCCTGCCTTCTGGTCAATAAAGGATGGGACAAACAGACTGACCGTTGGCACTTTTTAATTTTGTGTTGTAAACACCCACAGTAGTAAAGGACAGCCTCCTCATTGCAGTATCACTGTCTGACAAGAGCGCACAAAGGGAACCCATCTTTTTTTCACACAGAGGAAAATAAACTGAATTTACATAACTGTCAGAGAGTAGAAAAGCATATTTGATGGTGCAAATATGATCCCGTCTTTGCTGACATAAACCGGATATTTAAAGAAGTGAAAGCTCATATGTGCATTAGTAAACCAACTTGTCTGCTTGCTGAAATGAACTAAAATTTCCTTGCTTGTCAGAGAGTAGGCTTAGTTTTCTTCTTCTACTTGTGTTCGTTCTCTGAGAAGAAATACATTTTCTCTATTTTGGACGTGTTCTGGGTTCATTTCATCCCTTGAATGATAACAGGTTTACAGCAACAGAAATAACACCCAGGGGAAATTAGGGGGGCTGCTGTGGCTATCAGAGAGAAATTGAATGCGTGCGAGATTATTATGATCCACTTCCTGCTGAAATGATGAGCGCCTTGAGTGGGGATCGCTGCCAATCAAAGCCACGCACATCAAAGCACCATGCTCCCATCTAATTGTTTGACAAAGAGAAGAGAGGTATGCGCAATTTCTATCATAGTCTCAAATGGACGTCCTGTCCAGCAGCAGCACTGCCTGTGCACCACCAATTACCTGAGGCTGTGTTTTGTCAGCGGGACTCCCGGTGATGAAACATGTGGGCTGGCCTCCACTTGTAATGTTGCTGAGTTGCCATAATTGATCTCCCTGGGTTTACTAGTGACGACTCGACAACACTTTTAATGAGGCAAGGGGAGATGAGTTTGACTCATAACTCCAAAGTAGCTGTTTCAATCCAATTAATCCCCCATTCACTACTGTGACATCTGTACACATGACGTGGTGGAGCAGTCAGAAACACCCCACATGTGCATTGTGTTTGTGCAGCGGGTCAGTCTTGTTTTGGAGTGAACTGATGGATGGGGACTTAACACACTTGTGGACAGAGAAAAGTTGTGGAGGAAAAATTTTACCTCATTCTGAGCCTCTTTGGGCTGAATGTTCACGTTGAAAAACTAAACCTTGATTTGAACTTCTGTATTGAAAAGCAGTGGTCTCCATTTTAAACCCCTTTGTAGAATGATATGAATAGATAAGAAACACTGCCTACAGCTTAACTTTCAATGGTCTTTGGCTGTCTGCTACTTCCTTGTTTTCCTTGTTCTATGAACAGCAGATCACTTGGTAGGTATCCTGCCATTCAAAGCTTTCCCTATATGTACCGGAATAACCATCTGAAAGGGGAACTTCGATTCTACACAGTTTACAAGTCATAAAGAGTACAAACAGTTGTTTAAGGTCTTCTCTGACTCTGGAGGAGCTTTGTCAAGTCTAAAAAAGTAACATTTGATGATGCCATTAGGGATGTCTCAGGTTGGGCTTGGAGAACACATTTTAATGCTATAGTTAGCCTGCGTTGCAAACTGCATGTGGAGTTTGACAGACATAGGCATTTCCCAGGCAGGGAGATTAAAAAACACAAAAGCATCACTATGACTATGACTATCGACACAATCTATGCTGAAGCCCAAAAACACTATCTATTACTCTTTTTGTCTGCATGTGTAGTGATGGAGAATATGTACTGTACAATGGAGGCAGGCATAATGCACACTCTGTGGAATTAAATATCTATCTATTTATCTATCTATTGAGTTGCATTACGGTAAACATAGGGTGCAGGATTTTGACTTCCATTAGGGAGTAAAAGTCAGCACATCTCTGGCTCTGCTGCTTGTTTCACTGTAAACTGTAATCACTGGAATACCTTTTTAAAAACAGATGCTTTAAAGATGGCTGGATTGATGGAAAGCTTGCTACCTATGTACTTTGGCGTATATGGCTCTGATAAAAGTGATTTAAAGGATAAAGCTGGCATAATCAAGAGACCAAAACCAGTGATTCATTAGTCTGTCCCTCATTTGTTGGGGACTATTTTCTGTTGTGGATTAATGCACATTTGGTGCTCTAGTGGGAGCAAGTTTAGATGGGATTGATTCAAAATAAACAGTGTGTGTGTTCATAGTAATGAAGAAGCACCAGTGCAACAGTGTGCCTCACTGATATGTTTTTAAGAGTTTCTGAACAAAACTGGAGCTCTGTGGCACAGAGGATTAAACTAGCTAACATTAAGAAAGTCATTTCACATTGTGAAACGTCAGCAAAAACACACAATTTGTAAAAAAAAATTGTGCTATAAATCTTGCCTGCACGCTACTGCTGCTGCTTGCACTATAAGTAAACAATAAGGCAATAGGAACAAAGTTGTCTGTCAGACCACATGCTGGTGATGCTTCTCAAACAACAAGTGGTGTCATGACAATATTTAGGTTCTGATTCCACCAGATGATGTGGAGATTGGCACAAATTGTATAAAGACAGCAAGAGTTATAGTTTTAATAGTTATGTTACCTCATTGGAATGTGCATTTGTTGTCATAAGAAACAAATGTTTAATCAAGCCGTATCAAGAGTTTCTCTACTGGTACACTTGAAAGGCAATGGGCATGAAAAAAGATGTCGATTTCAGTTTTATGTGCTCACCTCTAGTTCCTTCCGTTGGTAAGGTCATCTCCCAGACACTGATCACAAGCACCATTACAAGTAGAGCCCCTTTACTTCCGATCTGTGTATATCGCTCACTCATCCTGGGGAAAAGAAAGACAGAGGAGTGTTTATTACGTACACTCCTTGTGACTCCTAGGTGATTTATTACAGCAGTAGTTTTACCTGTAATCCCGGGTAATCCCATAACATTCTTTCCTTTAGAACAGCATTTTAGAAGGACCTGTATTCAGTATTTAAAAACCAGGCAATTGGTTTATTTACATTTACCAACCATCACCATCTTTTACCATCTCTATTAGTCTCAACTCTGAGCCCTTGGGTTGGATTTGAGGGTTTTATGACGCAGAGCAGGGAGAGGTTGCTGTTTGACTAGCTCACAGTTTAACTTCAGAATGGCTTAGCTTGTCTGAATGCATATTTACTCTCATCAAGAAGAGATATGGCGTCTTATCCTTTTTTCTTTTCAAAACAAGCTACAGCTGTGAATGTGCCCTAGATCACAGCCTCCAAATCCCCCCCCCTCCACCCACGTCCCCAACAGAAGGCTCTTACAGCGAGAACACGTACAGTAGGTGAAGACCCTGTGCTGCCCCAACAGGCTTCAATAAGCCTCTCTAGTCTCTGCAGCAGAGTGGGAGAGAGCACTGGCTAATCCAGCCCTCCACAGTACCTTTTCCTCTGCACTCCCTCTTCCTAATGAAGTGTGGTGGGGCTGAGGCCACATTGCATAAACCATCTGGCACAGTGTGTTATCATTGACAGACACCGATCACATTTCAAACGGGGTTGCAGGAGCGGTACGGTAATTACTGGAAGAGGCATGGTATCGTATGGCGTGAGTGTACAATGTTACAAGCTGCGTTTACACCTTATTTACCGCCTCCCGCCTCTTATCTGCCTGCCTCATTGACATATAGATCGGCTAAACCTCGTTGGGGTTCTCAGATTATTTGTGTAATTAAGTTTATTTTGGCAAAGCGAACATGAGCTTTTGACCAGATTTTTCTATACCTCCCAGTGTCATACAGTAAATCGAGTGATGTGTCAAAAAAGCACAGTCAGGGCTCACATGTTTAGTATGCCCTCCAAAATTCTAACGAAGAGGACAACATAAACACAAGGGAAACACTTTCTCACACTGATTAAAAACACCTTGCAGACAATTGGTCTAGTTGTCATGTAACTTTTCTGAAATGATGTGAGAGACGAAGAAAGCTGATTGTGATTTGTGATATTTCTGATGCATTTGTCAATTGGCCGCATTCACCAATGTTCTCTTATTTTGAATTTCCTCTTATGCATGGACACAATTTATGAGTCCTGTCCTAGGAGTCACGTGCTATTAGTCTGTTGTTTTTTTACTAATGAGATATAAAATGCATTTAGAATTATATTATAATAAAAAATAAAAAAAATTGCTATTGATGGTATAAGACAACAATATCAAAAGGACTTAAATTATGCACTAATTGAAGGTTAATTTGTCTCTGTATATAAAAAGGTCAGCTGGAATTGTAACCTTTTGGATGCCTGAGCGCATCAAGCCCTCGGAGATTCACTCCCACAGCCACGGCGCTGTCCTCATTTGTATAGTGGACAGTATCTCCACCTGTCATGTGGAAGAATAGGGTTTGATTTTCTGACGGGGAGACTTAGCGTTTTCTACCAACTGCTGATTATTCATTTTAACCTCATGCTGGAGTCATTGCTGTAGTTTCCACTTACATTTATGTGCTGCGGTACACTACAAAAATTATCAGTGTCCTTTAACTTAAATGCTTCTCTGTATATGATGGAATATTGCCACCAGTCCATTTACTTACCAAAAACGGTGTCACAGCAGTCCTTACAGTGGACAGTATAGCCACCTGACTCTACCCTTTTTTGACAAAGTGGAGTTCTAGCCTCTTGTACTCCCATTGTCACCATCCTTCTCTTAGACATGGTTATGGTCTGGTTTACTGATTATGTGACTGAGAACTTTGACTTTCCTACTTAGAATAAACACCGCCAAAGGATCGCGTTCCCGCCCTGTCTCGAACAGGAGACCTTTCATGTGTTAGGCGAACATGATAACCTCTACACTACGGAAACGTTTTTTTCTTTAGAAAGGTTAAAAATACGGGAGAATTAGGGGAAAATATTTAAATAGGAAAAAAAGGGGATAAAACAATAAAATACAGGATAATCCCGGGAAAAACAGGAGGGTTGACAGGCATGCCCAAAAGTATTTTTCTGTATAATGGATTTAGGTGATTGCCTCACGTAAAATTCAAACAGATTGCTATCATGTGGCTCATCAATTGTGGAGTGTAAATGACAGACTGCTGAATCTCCTAGTTAAACTTTTAAGCACATTATATTGTTGTTAAAAGCTCTGAATTTAGACCTTCGGGTTTTAGGACTACAGCTTATCCTGTCAGTTGGTGAGGATAATGTTAACGTTAGCTAATGCAGCTACAAAGCAAAGCTGTCAACGGTTTCATTAGGTCTCAGTCATATATATATAAACCTTGTCAGACGAACGGTTTGTCTTTACTATAACCCTGCTTTTCCCAACTTATCCTATCTGCTTTGATGACTACATTTCCCAGAGCACTCACTGGGCATGCTGGAAATATCTGAACATCATGTCGTTTACCACTTATCCACAGGATACAGAAAAATACACCAAACCACTAAATGGACCCAACTGATCTTTTATGCTTTCATGGTGGATTTTTCCATCACCAAAATGATGTTAACCTCCATAGAGGTCAAGAATGCCGGTTTCATGACACTTAGCAGGGAATTCAAGGCAGCTGCAGTTTCATGTGAGGAAAAGCTACTCAAATGTTGTGTGATGGCCATGTAATGGTGAGGTTTACGAATTTGCTGAAATGGACCTCAAATTATCCTACACCTTGTACTTTAGCGATGGATGCTAATGTTCACCTTCATAGTGACAGATTTATAGCCACTGGTAAGCTGAAGAAACCGAGGGTTGGGTTGAAATGCTGTCCAGTCGATGTTGCTGTGCAATTCAGTGATGTGTGTGTGTGTTTGTGTGGAAAAAAAAGGTCATTGGTGACAGAGTGCAGGGCAGAGTACTACAGCATCATTTGTTGGGTGCTGTCCAAGAGTGCAATTCTATAAATGACATCTCATTGTCCCTGAATGGGCTGTGTTGTCATTGGTGGTGTGCTTGGAAGAGCGGGTCACTTAGGATTTGTTACAGTTTGAGGCCATTTTAGAACTGTTTACTTGACCTTGAATTGGAGGTCTTTAGCAGTTTTGGAGAAATACAACAATAGTGCTGCATAAATCCAAACTACTTTCTGTTTAAGTCAGCATATTTTCTAAGTTTTGTCTGTTAAGCTGAAGCTAAAGCTGCACTAATTAATATACTTACATTTACAATGGATCAAATGTGCAAAGGGTCACTCATAATGACAAAACCACAGAGAATTATCACCTGACTCAGCTCTACGAAGCGTTTTAGAATCTTTAAAGGTTCAGAGTGTAAGATTTAGTGTCATCTAGTGGCAAGGGTTGTGAATTGCAACTCTCCAGTGTGCCACTGCCCCCTAACCTTTCAAAGAGAGTACAACAACTACGGTGGCTGACACAGCACAAAAGGTGTCTCTTCTGAACAGTAGAGAGTGGCCAGTCAAGACATGAGGGTTCTTTAGGTAGATATATTAAGAAATTATATTTACTTAACTATTCAGCAAAACCATATGTTACTGTGACTTGGCCACTGACAGACCACATGAAAATTGTAAGCCAAGACTGTGTAACATTGTCACTGTTTCTGTACCACAGTCCATTATAAACCACACATTTGATAAAGTTTATACAAACATTGACAAGGTAAACACATTAATTCTTTCTGTGATTATGGACCACATCCAAAACTGCCCACCAACAATAATATCTGGCCCGCTGCCAGATTACGGTGCTTTGATACCGTAAAAAATATAAATAAATAAATGCTTTGATAGCGGTGCTGAAACAGATCTCAGTCATGGCAGCAATGGTTACTCACATAATCACTTCCTCTTTAGTGGTTTTGCCTACCAAATAAAAGCGCAAGAAGCTTGTTTACTGTAATGCTGTATTTGGAGTTGAACTGAGCAAAATTAAAGAGTCTGTAGGGAAATGAAAAAAGCGTCCATAGGTTGATGGATTTGGATCACACACTGAAACAAAAACAGTGCAGCACATGCCATGATCTGAGAAACATTCACTGCAGAATCCATTTGTTGAAGAGAGAGAGAGAAAAAAAAAAAGAAGCTATCTCAAGGTGGGATCAAACCCTCCATCCTTATGTTGCAGACCCCGCACCTTACCAACTGAGCTAATTGAACAAGATAAGTTTTCTAGTCAATATTATGTTTTATATTCTAATCTACGATCTAATGGTTGAAAGTATTGCTCTGATGCAAAACTTATTTGCAGACCCCTGCAGTATATTATTTGGTTTATTATATAAGGTCTTTACATACCACTGAAAACATAGTTATGGATCTTGTATTGCATTTCTGTTGATAGATCCTTAGAAATATTACACACTAAACCATTAAGCTCATTGTTTTGGTTTTACGGCCCTCAACTTACTGGTTTGGTTCAGTCTGACCATACTAAACCAATGAGATGATGAGACGCATCAGGCAGCTGAAAAACTTCCACTGTATTCAACTTGCTCAGCACCAAACTGCTGAGAGACAAAGTAGCTGGTGAACATAGTGGTGCATTTAGCAGATGAAGAGCCAGATACTTCCCTCATGATTTGGCAAATCCAAAACTCTAAGGAGAGTGAGTAATGGAGGCCAGAAACACAACACCAAACGAATGCTAATTTTGTCTGCTGGATGTGTAATGGGTTTTATTTGCTAACATGATCAGTGTATCAACTTTATAACATGATAACATATCATTGTTGTTAAGAAAAATCTAATTCAATTAATGAATACCACTTGCATTAATGTGGAAACTAATTTAGTCCAGCTAGAAGCAATGGAGTCCACCTAAATACTTTGACTATACATAAATGCATCAGATGAATGCTTGAATTGTTCTAACACATAGGCTACTGCCC